AATTCAACTATTAGAGTGAGCAACAAACCTTTGCATGCATATGTGAATCAAATTGAAGCCTAAAACATTCATCTTAGAGAGTAAAAAATAGCTATACAGAAACGCAGCCCCCCTCTCATTTGTAGGGGTGATGTTTGTCAAAACACCTAATACTTTCTCATAAATTTTGGTGTTTTGTCAACTTTTGATGACTTTTTCCCATTTTGGTTTTACATGTGCAATATATTGGTTTGTAGGAACCACACGGATAGGATTTGGGCATTGTTGGGGTGAAAACTGAGCATTTTGAATAGCCACGAGAGCATTAATGGATGATTTGAATACCCCAAAGATGAAATGGAGCACAAAGAAGCAAGAAACAAATATGTTGGAGGTGTATTGGTGGAAGCATCCATAGTAACGCCACAGGGGACGCCGTTCCTCCCGACATTCCTCCTTTTCGTTCCATCAGATTTCCATTTTAAAGTCCCACGTGTAGGAAACCCGACAAGGAATGACGTTCTTACCAGTGTTCCTTCAGGAACGACGTCCCCTTCACCATTCCTAACTTCCTATCATCATCAGACTTCCTGTTAGAGAGCAATTTTTGTGTTACGGTGGGAATGTCGATGAGGAACACCGTTCCTCCTAGCGTTCCTAGACGTTCCTTCCCGACATTCCCTGGATTTCCCTCTTGCATAAATATATATAGAATCCCATATTCTGAATTTCATAGTTGTTGGATAAGTTTTTTATTGCAAACTCTAGTTTTGTTTGTAATCATCCTTTGACTCTTTTGTAATTCATTTCTTAGTATTATTTGCATCTAATCTCTATTCTAGTTTCATTTGATCCATTAAATAGATTGGATTATTATCATCTTTTTACCAACTCGTCCCTTGTGTCACTTCATATCCATGTCTTATATTTCTTATATGAATATGAAATTTAACACGACTGAGGAGTAGGATTAGGGATTCAGAGTGTTTGAGGATCACCCAACCATGTGATGTAAGAGATTTTGGGGTTTGATTTGGGGGGACATGAGAAATATGTCATGCACACTCTGGGTTTGTGAAAATGACTCTTTGAATTTCTGAGATTTTGGTGGTCACAATGTTCTTAAATGTTGTTTTGGACTCTCAAAGAGACCTGTAGGGTTTCTTTTGATACATTTAAGCGCGCACACATACACACTACCCCCCTTTCCATAAGAATTATGAAGGTAGGGGAAATTATTGGACCATGAGAGTGGCCCAACAGAAGCCCTTAGTACTCCCTTTATCATGAAAGTGATAAGGGAACTTGTACATATCCATTTTGTTGCATGAATACTTTCTCAAGAATCCCCATTTGACCTCATAATCAATTATAGGTTGTTCCTTATATGCCCACGCTTCCCTTCTAATTTAATTGCATGTTCATCTATTTTCATTGTTATTTACTTGTTTTCTTTAATCAAGCATACATCGATTTTATTAGCTAGCTTACATGTTAGATTCCTAGACTAATTTCACATTTAGTTTTCCATATACACCGTCACGTGAGACGATATCCGTGAGTCTGTGACTTTCACATCTCAACGTCCGAAGAGCATCATTGTGAAAATGGCTCATCACTAGCGGTTACCCACTAATTAAGAGATATCTAAAAAAAATCTTACTTTCCTTTAATGTACTCCTATATCCCAAAATGAAGTTTACCTTTCCAAAAAAGAAATTGTTTGTGCAAAAAAGAGAAGAAATTGTTTGATGGTCAAATACTCAAATGTCACTACTATACCTACATTCTCGCCTGAATGTGTTCAGGAAAAATCTTTAATGTCGAATTTTAATGTTCCTAGTTTCCAAAATAGATTACTGGAACTTATGAAATATTGAAACAATTTCAATGTTCTACGTGCTCATAAGACTTTCATGGGTCAACTACCCCAACCTCCCTCCTCCCAAATGTATAAGCATATTAGTATATGATAATGATAAACAGTATCTTTAAATAATTACAAATGCGACCATTGTAAGAGAAAAAATATTAATGAAATACATCAATTTTTACTCCCTTCATCCCATGTTGGTTGTCTTACTCTCTTTTTTGGATTGTCTCAAAATGAATGTCAGATTTCCCCTTTTGGTATGAAATTTGTGATCCTATCATTTTACTTCATTCTATTCAAATATCAACAACTTTAACTTTTCAACCACTTTATTAATAATCGTGTTAAATTGAAATGAGACAACCTATGGGATGAAGGTAGTACTCCGTATGTTTTAGCAAATTAAAGTAGACGGCTATGTACCTGAGATTGCTAGAACCATTGCAACATCATCTGAAGAATAACTTAATCCTCCAAGTCTTCGAGGACTTTCAGACCATAAAGAGAATATCTGTAGAAAAAAATATATATTCATTCAATAGCTAGATTAATCATTAATGTTTAGACTTTCTCTCTTAATGTATTCAAGAGTGGTCCGATGTGGCGCCATGGCGGTGTCGTATGTTTGTTTTCACACCCGCACGTTAGCATGTATTAGGATCTAAATTTTCAACGTCCAGTGGACCGTAGTAGAGACCCAGGGGCGTACAAATTTTTTTTTTAGTGTATATGTATACGAAAAATAATTTTTGCTCTTCCAAAAAGTATTTTGAAACCCCCCAAAAATATTTTCACCCCTCCAAAATGATTTTCCTGGGTCCGCCCCTGAACGTCCATGTGACTCAGTGCTAACTAAAATATTAATAAGATTTGCATAATAATTAAATATATGGATACTTTGAATATATATATATATAGATTCCGGATCAAATAAAAATCTTTTTTCCCGTGAAAACTACAAACCGGTCACTTTTCCCCCATTCTAATGCACTATTAGCTTTCTATATTGCACTTTTTCACGAAGGCATACAAATTTGACTTATTTACAAAAGTGCCACCGTTTTTTTCTATTTGAAATGATTCGACCAAAGTTTAAAAAGTGCAAGAGACGAGTTTTAAAGTGAATCAAATGGAGTCAAAAGTGACGGTTTGCAGTTTGCACGATAAGGATCCGCACCCTATATATATATATATATATATATATATATATATATATATATATATATATATATATATATATATATATATATATATATATATATATATATATATATATATATATATATATATATATATATATATATATATATATATATATAGTGCGATTCCAGTGAGAACGGTGTTTAACGTGAGAACGTGAGAACGGTCACATTCAAATCAACGTGGTGCACAATGGAGCTATTCTATTGCACATTTTCAATTTGCTCGAATTAAGCCTATATTAAATAAACACGATGACATTTTGGTAAATATGGTGAAAATGTGCAATATACAAGCTTCGATGTGCAACACGTTGGGATAAATGTGACGTTCTCACGTTCTCACGTTAAGCATTGTTCTTATTATATATATATATATATATATATATATATATATATATATATATATATATATATTATTTAACAAGATTAATACGTAGTATTATTTTTATAAGAAGAAGTACCGCAATCTAAAATACTCCATACTATCATTTCTATGGTTAAATAAATATTCTATGGTTAATAAAGGTTCTATTTAGTAAATTCAAAATTATTTCATCTTAGATTATGATTAGGCGATCTGAAAACAGGGTGGACTGGTAAGTTGGTTCATCGGCTCTCTCACCAGCTTGACCGAAGTTTTCTTTGTTACTCTGCTTCAGATTTTCGGATGACATCAGCTCTCGGAGATTCTTGGTAGGAGCTGGTATGACATATAACTAGCTAGATTGTTCTTCTTTTGGTGTTGTGTTTGTTCTGTTCTATGAAAGTTCTTTCTTGGGCACGGACGCTCAGAGGTGTTTTGTCTCTCTTGGTGTGGGGAGTTGTTTTGGTGTTACGGTCAGCTTCGCCTGGACAAGGGTTTCCATCTGTCTTCTTTTGAACTGCGTAGATAACGATAGAGGCAGAAAGGTTGTTTTTTACTCCACTTGTTTCTACGTTTATCCTGAACGAAGTAAGAATAATATTCTAGTATTCACTCATATTGCAACACACGTCCTCCTTCGAAACCACCTCCGTGCCAGAAAGAGTTTTATGGAAAGACATTATTCCATTTTTTTTCCTTACTAGTATTTGTTTTCATTTTAGTTCGAGTAGGTTTTGTTTGGATATTTGCAGTTTTAGAGTACTTTTGAAATTAAAGACATTGTTTTAGTTCCAGTCGTTTTAGACTTAAAATTGTTTGCTTCGTGTCTAGCGAGTCAAATTGATTTGTATGAGGTGTCTGCTTCTATGTCTATTCTGGTGTGAGACTGCAACACTCCTCCTCACGACTATATATTTCGTCTGGATCGTGTCATCATTCATTTCTTTCATCAGTTCATCTTTGTCATTTTTTAATAATAATTGTCATTTTCATAGGGGCCCACACCATCTTTATGTATCGATTTAACTTTAATACCATGTTAAGAACTGAGATTTCATCTTAAAAGGTTAACCTGATAGGAGAAGTAACTCATGATATAATATAACACTATATTACGGAGTACTTCATAATATTCCAGTATGAGAATTCAATGATACTCCGTATATAATAAGCTAATTGTTAAAGAGAATTCATAATATACATTAGGGGAAAATAATAAAAACATCCCAAACTTTGATGGGGTGTGAGGTAAACACCCTAAACTTGCATATGTAATTTAAATACCACAAACTTCATATAAAAAGTTATTTTCGCACCATTGTCATTCATTATTTCTTTCAAAAATGTAAATTTAGGGGGTTAATTGCATAATTTAAAATAGCATATTAAAAATGATGCAATTGTATAGATTGGGGATAACATTACTTATTTTGCAATGGAGGTTTAAAATGTTAATTGTGTCTTCATTAGTTCTAAAATATTTTAAATTATGCAATTAACATTATAGATTAACCATATATGTATATACATACCTGAGTATAAGCCATTTCTTGAAGAGAGAATACACAATATACTACAATGGATGACATCAAAGGCCAATTTCTAAGAATGCTCTTTTTCGAGGTCGAAATGTTTTCCTCATTAGCAACTTGAGATGCAGTCTCTAGAGCCTTATATGAATAACCAGATGAAGGATCAGTTGAATCGTGTCGGTGCATTGTTTCCTACATGCACAGGTTGAGAAGTCAAAACAAGGAAAAGATAAAAGTTTTTTCCATTTTTGGTCTCCGACTATTATGTCAATGACATTTTTGGTTCTCGACTTCTAATTTTTCCATTTTTAGTCCTCGACTATAGTGCTAGAGACATTTTTAGCCTCCGACTTCAAGATTTCCCACATTTAGTCCCTAAGTATTGTCAAATCGACACTTTTAGTCCTCCAATTATGATTTTGACACAATAAGTGTAGGACTAAAAATGTCACTATTATAATAGTTGAAGGATAAAAAATGTCACTTTTATATATGAAAGTTGAAGGATTAAATATGAAAATTTTCAAAGACAGGTACCAAAAGTGTCTCTAGCGCAATAGTCAAGGACTAAAAATCGGAAAAATCAAAATCGAGTACCAAAAGTGTCAATGACATAATAGTTGGAGGACTAAAAGTGGAAAAAACTCAAAAGATAATCACCATTGAGATATTGGGATTTTGCGATAGGGTCTACCGGCAAACAAAATGTAAAAACCGTCACCATCAATGCTAAAAGTGAAATGCACAAGCAAGGCAAGAGGTAGGGAAATCTGCATAAAGACATTGATTAAAACATGAATTAATAAACTACATAGTACACTACGGAGTATTATATTAAAATTTAGGCTACTCCTACTATTTAGCTAGGATAGAACTTCGAGTTGAATGATGACACGATTCAGAAGAAATGGGGAAAGAATGTATCGAAGAATATCACACCTACACTGATAAAATATGAATAATAAAGTACTATATTAAGAATCCAGACTCTGGCCTCTTTCTATGAGGTTGAGCATGGAACATCATGTCTTAACAACATTGAAGATATCAATTAATATTGAGAAGAATGCAAGCTAAAATGAGAGAATTGATTTACCTTCCGAACAAAGATTTTCCCGAGAACAGTGACGGATACTTCTCAGCAGGCTTAGTTCAAACGTACAAGGATCAGATCAGATCTCACCAAAAAACAACAAAAAGGAAATGGAAAAGATGTTGACTAAGCAATATTTACCTGTGCAAGAAAACCGCCTATAGCTGGACCAAGAATTAGCCCTATACCTGAAGCTGTGCTAACCTAAAACCATAGAAAAAACATTTTTGTATTAGGATGAAAATCCAAACCCTAAATATGGTAAAAAGTTCATTACGTTTAAACCATTAATTAAATCAATCTAAGATCGAAAAGGAACACACAAATTTTAATATTAGTCTGACGTATCAAACCATTATCATGTAAGGCATATTAAATCATCCGAATCTTAATTACTAAGTCACTATCTTTTATAGTATTACATGTGCCCCAAATTTTCCTTCCAATTGTAAATTCTTATTAATAAAGTAGAAATGTATGTTGCAGACTTGTAGTTGATGTAAACAAAGTAGGAAGAATGTTAACCTCACAAATCATTCCATAAACGAAAATGAGGAAGAATTTTGAACATATAATAAAGGAAAGTGAGAAGAAAATTATAAGATGAATTGATTATTTGTTTTTTTTGAGTATATGGATTATTTGTTATATAAGTATGAAAAACTATTTGTGTACATGTTTTGTACACACCATCTCACACATCATCTAGACAAAAAATAGTCGCTCACAGACATGTGAAATATTGTGTGTACAAAAAAGTGTGTAAAAAAAAAAATTGTTGTTAAATGCCCCATATTAATAACTTTGTACTATATATAAATGTCAATAAGTAAATGTTACCGTGGAGAGTCCTAAGGATTGGTATTGATCTGGGAAAACTTCTGCGGCATATGCCTACACAATCAATAATGTTAGGTAACAATTTGGTATGAAAAAATTCCACTTTTGGTCCCATGACTATTATACTACCACTTTCACATTTAGTCTCTTACTTTCACATTGTCCACATTTAGTCCGTGACCATTATCCCCTCATCACCCCTCGTCCTTCCGGCCAAAATTTCGGCAAATTTCGTCCACTTCTCAGCTCCAGAATCAGTCATTGCATTAAATTTTGTATCAGGTTGGGTTTTTCATATCAGTCTTGCATAAAATTAGGTTTTTCATACCTAAAATCTGCATTAAATTTGCTGGAATTTTGGCCGAAAGGACGAGGGGTGGTGAGGAGATAATGGTCACGGACTAAATGTGGACAATCTGAAAGTAAGGAACTAAATGTGGAAGTGATATAATAGTCATGTGATCAAAAGTGGATTTTTTTCATTTGGCATAGAGCATTAAGTTTAATTATTAAGGGAGTGGGGAGGATTAAAGAGTGATGTTAATCAGAGTAAATAAGATACTTTTATTGGTCCAAGCAAACCATTTAGACTTCCAAGAAGAAATCTGGAAATGATTGCCATCCAAAAGTTTGCGCTAAAACCAAACAGAGTATTGAAAATCACCCTGAGACCATATTAATACATAGCATTAATATCAAATAATAGTTTTTGAATTCACCTTGATATAAAATGAATCAAATTTAAATGAGAGATTTCAATGCAAGTTACACTGAAATAGTGCTAAATATAATCACTGGTTTTCGGCCATATCGATCCGCAATCAACCCCCATAATAAAGACGTAGATGCCCTTCCAAGCATGAATGCCGAGCCTTCATGCATTTAGACCATGTAAAGAATATCATTACACATATGTAAAAGCTTTCTTTTTAGTAAATGTGGTTAATCATAAATAGACAATAGTACCCCTCCGTCTCGTAGGAAGGTTCCCAAGCGATTCACGATTTTTGACTGTGGTTAATCATATTCAGAAATTACATTAAAAGTAAATGATGAAAACTGCATTTTCTTTTTAACAAAAAGAAAAACTCTAATTTGATAAAAGTTGAATATATAAAGTAAACGATGAAGACTTTATGTTGACTGGCCGAAGAACCGTACACGGAAACCTTTGAATGGAATGGAGGTAGTACTACACTATTATTATTATTACTAATTCACTATTGTTGTTGTTACTATTATTATTTTTATTATTATATTATCCAATCATATCCTCTAAAACATTAACCTACCTACATAACCTGCATAGCAACCAATATCCTCTTCTGTCTCTGCAATATGGAAATCTCTTATCTGCCATCACAGAAAACATATATGTATAACATTCATTGGGCTCCCTCAAATTGATTTCATTATAGAATGAGAGCTAGAGAAATGTACATGCAACTTACCATGAAATAAAGGAAGGGAAAGATAGATGATATTGGGAGTGCTGCAAAGGTGGAGGCACACAAACAATAACACATGCATGAAAAAGAATAAGAATTTTGTTTATCATCATATCATACAATGCACACATCAACTCGGGAACAACACGATAAGTTAAGAATGAGAGTTCACTAGCTAGGGGAAATGCATTTACAATGCACACATCAACTCGAGTTGCAATTAAACTGGAGTTGATGTGTGCATTGTCAAATTTAAATTTCCTTGATCAGGCTTCGTAAGTTTTTTAATTTCGTTTCTGAATATCAGAATATGTAATGTAAATTTTATTCACTAAAAATAATTTGAGTGTGAACAAGGATCAAGTTGTTTTATCGTCAGTCAAGCATAGTAAATCGAAACAAGAACTTCTTTATGGGACGGAGGGAGTACTTAGTAACGAACTAACTAACTATTATTGATTACAATTATGTTCAAAGTTTGCATCGTAGTAACTTACATGTAATTGCTACGATGTAAACTTAACACAATTATAATCACTAATAGTTACTAAGTAATGTTTGCGTGCATCACATTTTATAGAGTAATATTAATGGACTTTTTTCTATTTTCAATCAGTCTTAGAAACAAAAAATGTAAATCAATTTGAGACGGAGAAAGTATATAAAAGCGAAAGAACATGCACACATATGATGTAGTGATGACGTGGATAACGCATACCCGTGCAAAAGACAATAGTCCAAAGGGTGATGAGCATTTTGATGGGAACACCTCTCTGCAACTGCTTCTGCTGCTCCATCTTACACCCTGGGCAGTTCTCATAATACCCTTTCTCCTCTTTCTTCTCCAATAATGATTCTTTGTAGCACTGATCCTCTGATCCCATTGTTGCAAATTAAAAGCTTAACTTTTCTGGTTATATACAGATGTATAAAGGAGTCTTTGTTAATTTGTGACTTCCTGTTTCTTATCTTTCTTGATTTTGTTGGGGCCTTGAGAGGATTAAGAAGAAATGTCCAAGTGTGGAGTATGTATTAGATCAGAGCATCTTCCATCACAGTGCTGTTTTATAGGTAATCATCTTAGTGACACATACTAATTAATTGAATATTATAATTTACTTTGAATATGAATGAACCAGGATTGATATATGAAAATTGAAAATAACGATAAAGATTTAGGTAAGTTTATGGATTGACTATCGAGTACATGGCTTTAGATTTAAATATATACTAGTACAAAACTTTATGTCACAACTCACAAGACATAGGGAATATAAATATCCCGCAGCGGCCGTGTGGAGGTCACATAACCTGAAATAAGGCTGGGTTTCTGGTGCGCACGGAAAAAAGGCTTACCATCATTGGGCCGACTGAGTCACCGTGATTAACAACCTCCCAAAAATCCTGTCGGGTCGGGGTATGGGGGGCTCCTGGGGTGGGAGATTCCACCTTTTGGATCAAGGGAATATAAATATCACCAGTAGTCCCTCAAATCTTTAATATATATCACCAATACCGATATTAGACCTACCGTGACATACCAATATCAAATAATGCCATCCTCCAAAAATCTACACGATTTATCAATTTGTATATTACATAATTAATACATACTTCCTCCGTTCTTAAATAAGTGCAACACTTTTCTTTTTCGGCAATTTCAAAATAAATGCAACATTTCTACTTTGGGAAAGAAATACTAGGCAATTAGACTTTTATACCCTTCATTATTTATAGCCATTTGCTCTTCGGTTTTCTGAAACTTTCTTTACTTAATTTCTTTACCCACCACTCACCCACTGATTCCATTCCTTTTTACCACCACCCATCCACCAATTTCATCTATGACTCTCTTCATCGATTAAGCCATTTCCCCATTTCCTTCCCCATTATCTCCATCAATTATTTTTCGTTTTCTTTTCTCTGACTTGTATTTCAATTACGACGGAAATGGAAGACATGGACGACGGACAAGAAAATGATTTTGCTTCGGTTACTCCCCCGTGAGCTGAGAGACACGGCAGTAATGGTGGCCTCTAGGCGGCGGGCGGCTGGTGCGGTGGCCGGCTGGTGAGGCGGCCGGATCATTGTCCATGTGGGATGATGATTGGCGAAAGCGGACGAGAGGTTGCTGAGCTGGCTTCACGTTGGGGTGAGGAGGAAGTCGCTTATCAGAGTTTAGCGGAGATTCAAAGAGGGGTTCTTCCGATGAGCAGTATACTGCAAAAGTGAATAGTGCACCAGGCTTACTGTTCTCTTTCTTGGCTATAAAAATTTTATCCACTTTTGATTACTGTAGCACTTCTTTTCGTATGGCTGCTCTTTTCGTATTTAGAAGGGTAAAATAGTGAAGTTTAACACTTTTAGAGGGTGTCTTAATTTTCGTGCCCAAGTGCATGTTGCACTTATAACCGAACGAAGGAAGTATTAGATAAACTATAGTAGTACAATTTTAAATAATTAAACTATACTTTGGTCCGATTCCAAGCTTCCAGTAAACTAGCAAAGGTCGTGAAAGTGCGATTGATGACACATATCAAAGTAATGGTGTAAATGTACATTTAAATAATTAAATTATATTTTGGTCCGGTTCAGTTACGGTCCGGTTCAGGGCAAAAAATTTGAGATCCGTTTCAAACCTCGTTTTTCGGTTCGGTGCCATACCGGTCCGATTCGGTACCATGCAAGTTTGGTATTTCTGCCCACACCTAGTTCTAAAGGAGAAAATGCATCGACCATTCTTGTTTTTTTAGTTATTTTCATTCTTTGTTTTATCGGAATTTATTCACTAATTCAATGACAAGACTAAGAGCCCGTTTGATGACTCTGGTTTTCGGCTTATCAGACTTATCAACCAACTTTTTCACCAAACACGTACTTTTGATTTCGTACGCTCAATTGTGTAATAATAAGATAAAGTAAGGATGAAGTTACTTTTCTGGCTGTATTGGCTGAAGTTACTCTAGATGATCATTTTAGCTATTTTTCATACAGTTTTTTCTAAATCTTGTTAATAAAAAATATTTTAAATATGATGTTTTCATAAATCAGCAGAATCAGTCAATCCAGCTAGAACTTCATAAATTTCAGCAGAATCAGCCGATTCAGTCAATTCTAGTGTTACCAAACGGGCTCTAAAGCATAGCCTAACAAGTTCACATGTTCATGTTGTGATACTGAGAATGTCTAAATTAGTATTGAGATATTTTCTATATATTTTATATATGTTAGTTTATTTTACAATAGACATCGATCTATCTTATCGGCAATTTATTTTATAATGTTAGTTTATATATCGGCAGTTTACAAAGCAATAGACATCGATCTTTTTACGCAATTATAATTCCCTTTAATTAGAAAGTAGATAACAAATCATGGGATTAGAAATTCGTTTTAAATTCTTTTCAAATAAAAACTACTCCGTATGTGATTAGAAATTCTTTTTAATAGAAATTCTTTAATTATGGGAGAACATTACAAATCACATTAGATAGTTTTATAATTGGAGTTATTTTTCTTTTAAAAAAGTACTTTGTATTAGTTAAATTTATGACGGGAAGAAGTAAAAATGTTTCAATTAGTTGAGTGCAAATTAAAGAGTAGAAAATGCCAAAATCCCATATGAAAGAATTGTTGGAAAGATGCGGGTTACATAGCCACATGCATAAAAGACCATATGTGAGTTCTAAAGAAAATGCATTGACCTTTCTTGTTCTTTTAATTATTTTCATCATCTGTTTGACCGGAATGTATTCCCTTGGTCCAAAAGGTTGAATGCCCAATTCCAAGGCCCCCACCCCGACCCGACAAGATGATGGAGAGGTTAATCACGGTGACTCATTCAGTAAAACGGCGATAGGCCTTATACACGTGTCCACCAGAGGTACAGCCTTATTTCAGGTTCTATAACCTCCACACGGTCGTTGCGGGTTTCGAAACTTGGTCACTTGGTCCAATTTTCCCACCACTCGACCAACTGAGCTACCCGTGCGGGTAAGGAATTTATTTAAATGGATGGTAAGACTAATCTAGTTGTACAAGTCCACGTATACATGTTATCATGTGAAAGGCCCACCATATGAAGAGTGAGAGAGTGAAGTTAAAGTCCTTCAAGTGAGATATTCAGAATGTCTAAATTTAGAAAGTAGAAAATGTGTGAGAATCTCGCTACCGAACTCCAAGGATTTTTTTACTTGATGAAATTTGGTGATCTGTTCTAGTCTAGTCTGGTCTGGTCTGATTTGATTTCTTTGTATTTTTATAACTATTCAAGTCTGGTCTGGTCTGGTCTGAACTGGTCTGATCTGATCTAGTCTAGTCTGATCTAGGACGAATTACAGTCCAAGTAAAAACATCCCAAGTGAGAATAGAAGTAACACATTACCATATTTCTAAAGTAATATTTTGTTTAATTCAAGTAAAAAAGTATGTAAATATTAAAATAAGTAACTCAATTTATTCCTAAGTAAGATTTCAATTTCAGACATAAAAATAAAAAATAAAAACTACGGAGTATGTGATTAGAATTTGTTTAATTATGGTAGAATAACACAAATCATATCAGTATTTTTTTGAATGGAGTATTTTTTCTATGGAAAAATTACCCTCTATTTTTTTAATGTCTAAAGAAGTAAGCCAGCTTAACAAGTCGACGTGTACGTGTAGTAATATTGTACCAAATACCGAACCAAACTAAATCGGTTTGATTCAGTAAAAACAAAAAAAAATCGGTTTGGTAATCGGTAAAACCGAATTACCAAATAGGCATTCAATGTTTAAATATAAATATTTAAATATAGTTTATTTAAATTTATTATATTAAATATAAATAATTTAATATTTATATATAAATATATAACACATACCGAAATATATATATATATACCTATATTAATATATTCTAGGACATAATATATACATATATTATATATTTAATATTTATTAATTTATTTCTTTCGGTACTCGGTACATACCGAAAACCAAAATATTTTTATATATACCGAACCGAATACCGATTTTTCAAAATTGCACTTACCGATTACCGAACCGAAATTTCGGTTCAGTATTTGGTACGTACCGAAATTTTACTATCGATTTGGTTCGGTCGGTTTAATTTACCGAATTGTGCACACCCCTATATGGAAGGACCACCATGTGAAAAGTGAGATAGTAAGGTTAGAGTCATTCAAATATGATATTCAGAATGTCTAAACATAGAAAGTAGATAAAAATCTCATCAATACCAAACTAAAAGTGAGAGATTTCCATATTTCAAAAATATAAAGTTTTCCTATTTAAAAAAGCAAGAGATTTCCATATTCTAAAAATATTATTTTATTAAACTTTTTTCACTTCTAGAGCAATTTGAAGGCAAGACTAAGCGAGACTCAATGTAAAAATTAAAATAAGTTACTCAATCTATTCCTAAGTAGGCCTTCAATTTTATAAGATCATACATAAAAATAAAAACTAAAAACTATGTGATGAGAAATTGTTTAATATGGAAGAATAATACCAATCATATATATTACATAATTGTTTGAATGGAGTAATTTTTTCTTAAAAAGTATTCTGTACTAGTTAATTTTATGACGGACAAAATAAAAATGTTTCAATTAGTTTAGGACAAAGTGTAGAAAATGTTTAAACCGATACCCGTTACATAGCCTATTAAATGCATTGACCTTTCTTATTTTAAGTTATTTTAATATTTGTTAAGACAGTTTGAATTGTCCATTTGTCCAAGTGTACATGTTTTAATATGAAAGTCCCACCATATGAAAAGTGAGAGAGTGCGGTTAAAGTTGTTCAAGTGAGAAATTAAGAATAT